GATGATGCTGCATTGGAAGTCAACTGCTTAAAAAGGACAAAGAGAAGCAGTTTTCAAAGGAAGGAGGACCCCAGAGAAGGCAAGACCCCTGTCCCTCACCCCTCACCTGTCATCTCTGGGTCCCTACAACTTGCATGCGATTATGTAAAAGGCAGCATCTGGGTGAGGGTTGAACCCTAATGGGATTCTGCACATTTTATAATTAACCTGTGGTTAACTTAGGTGTTCCAGTGCCCCACACCATCACCCTCATCCACTTGTGGGAAAGTGAGAGAGACAAGACTGAGTTTTTCACAAAGCTAAGCATTCATTTTCAACAGGATTGTCTTCCCCGCCGCCCCCCCTTCCCCCCGCACCAGTATTCTCTCTTTTCTATTTTCTTGGTGCTAAAACATCCTTTTATGTATGAAACAATGGAGTCGGTAGACCAGACTTGACTTCTTAAGCATCTGTGCTTGGCAGGATAAAGCTGGCAACCTTATGTTGAATCCTTCAATTTTTCTCTTGAAAATTTTTGCTGAACTACAAAATCCTGAAGTCTGAGGACCACTGGATTGTACTCTGTCAGTTATCATTTCTATCAACTCTCTTCCCAATCTTCAGGCAATTTTTTTCTGCTTAGTACAGATAGTCTTTTGAAATTCAAATACTTCAACTCTGGGCTTAAATTTAATAACATTTTTTTTTGGTCTACAGGGTAACAGGTATTATATTCCACATATGCCATAATTTGGGCACAGGATATATTCTTTTATAAGATTGTATCTTTTGCTTTTCTCTATCTGTTACTGTGACTTGCTTTGAAGAATGTTCAGTCCTTTAAGAAGACTCCATCTATGACACCCTAGGCTGGACTGAGGTTGGGAGGGGGATGTTGGGGAAGGGCGGAAGGTTTCCTGTGACAATTTAGATAGAGCAAAAGCTCCAATCACAGGCAAGAGACTGCTAAGTTCCTTGGCCTGGGAAGGTCAATACCAAGAAGCTCAAAGGGCAAGATGGGGGAGAGTGTGTTAGAGAGATCAGTAATTTTAGAGGCTCCAAGAATCTATTACAGAATGTAGCAGAGAATGAGAAATGCCAGGAGTTCTCGACCATGGGCAGGGAGCAGTTAGGGCTGGAGCTCCGTGTATTCCCAGTGGATGGTGCATGGTTAGAAGCCTGGGTGTGGACACTGCATGTGTCCCTGGAGCAGGGGATAGGACCTGGGGGTTAGCATCACTGCTGTGCCAGACAAAATGAGAGATGACACCACACTGCTGCGTTTTGCATGGTCACAACCACTACTATTGATAATGCAGAGTAAACAACCTACTTCCTTCTTCAGGATGGTGCATGGTTAGAAGCCTGGGTGTGGACACTGCATGTGTCCCTGGAGCAGGGGATAGGACCTGGGGGTTAGCATCACTGCTGTGCCAGACAAAATGAGAGATGACACCACACTGCTGCGTTTTGCATGGTCACAACCACTGCTATTGATAATGCAGAGTAAACAACCTACTTCCTTCTTCCTGTTTTTTTTCCTGAGGATGGGGATGAGGAGTGAAATTAACTGTAAATGGCTGTGAAGGATCTTACTGGGGTGATGAGGATGTTTCAAACTGGACTGTTGGTAATGGTTGTACATCTTGTAGAGGCACTGAAAAATCATTGAGTTTAATGGTTAAACACATAAAATGGGTGAGTTGCATGGTATGTAAATTATACCTCAATCCTGCTTTTGGAAAATGAATGAATGGATGCTTCCTGGGCATAATTGCCTTAGTCAGGGATCTTGGAGTGGTGGGGGCTGGCGGTGGGGACCAGGGCAGGATCTAGACCTTTCTGGCCCCTTCAAGCTGATTGCCAGCATGGATGAAAGGGGCCTGATGGGTGTGGAACAGGGACAGGTAGGAACCTAACAAACCTTTTCTACTGATGGAGCCTCAAGACAAGACAGCCTCAGAGGCCAGGGTGTCTGAGGAGGGAGGGTGGGAACAGGGGAGTATCCCACAGTTGGAAGGTGGGGAAGGGGTGCAGACAGGGAGGTCTGAAGTCAGTAATGGCCTTAGGGAAACAGAAGGGCAGCCAAGGGAAGAAATAAACCTGTGGAGAGTCTTGGGGCCGCCAAAGGGAGTAAGAAGGGCATTTTACAAATATATCAGGGGAAAAGAAATCCTTGAGAGCCGCCCAGGCCATTAATAAATGAGAAGGGAAATAAAATTAATGATGATGATAAAAATGGCTGAGCTGCTGAAGTGCTTTGTAAAATTGGTCTTTAACAAGGAAAAGAAGAAAAGAAATCCAAGAGATGAGCAATTAGAAAGGGACAGAGGCCCTGGCAATAGAGCTGATGAAAGGTAGGAAAGAGAATACTGAGAAAAATTGGCTGATGCCTGCCCAGTTCAGATCACCATGTCCAGATGCAGAACTTGGGGTCTGAAGGGAATTAGCTGATGAAAGGATGAAACTGTTGGCAGTTGTTTTAATTATACATATGGTTAATTTTCACATATATATGCATATATATATACACACACACACTTTTTTTAAAGAGGAGAGACAGTGAAGATTCAAGAGCTAGAGACAGAAGAGGGGAGGAAGTACTATATTACCACCAGATGTTGAGTTCCGCCATGGGGCTTGGCACTGTGCTAGGTACATTGCACACATCCTATCATGTAATTCCTTCAGTGGCCCTGAGTGCTTCTATGACCAGCCCATTTCACAGGCAGGGGAAACTGAGGCTCAGAGAGCTTATGTGCCCCTCCAAGATTACTCAACTCTACATATTGGTGGTAAACTTCAAACCCACATTTTTCAGATTCCCAAGAGGGTTCCTTTCTGTTCTACCAGCTGCTTAGTCTAACTTTCAACACTGGATTCTACACATCAGACAGAAAGCACCCACCTGCCAGTGACCTACTTCGAGTGACTGTCCTTTGTCCTGAAGCCTGGGGATTCTGACAACATAGGCAGGGGACTGCCTGGCTGTAACTTTGAGGTGTTGAGGGAGGATTTCAGACTTCACGTGTTGAACAGAAAGAAGTGGGGTGGAGTTTGAGGGATGATGGGCCTGAGGGGACAGGATGTCGGTGTCCTTAGGGGTGTGTGGGATCCCAGCGTCCAAAGGCCTTATCACACCTGGGAAACTGAGGCCAGCGAGGGGGCAAGGACTTGCCCAAGGTGGAGCCAGGAGCTGGAGCTGACTTGAGGTCCAAGGCGAAAGTCCATCATTTGCCCTCACCATGGACTTCTTTCCTTTGTCCTGTGGGGCTGACCTTGACTTTGATTCTCACCTTTGGTTCTGTCCCCTTCTCTCTGCTTTTGGCGACTCACACCAGTGGCTTCTTTAATCTCACATCTGTTGCTGTTTTGTTAACCCTGATGCCCCGGGGGTAGGGGGCAGAGAGGGGGTAGGGATGAGGACAAGAGGGAGCAGCACATGGGACTGGTCTGGTCCCACTGGGGGCCTGTCGCTGAGCGGTCTTGTGCCAGGTGTGGTGGGAACCCACCTGGGATCGATTCAAACCCTGGCCCAAAGTCTTTATTTCATCTAATCCTTGCCACAGTTTCATCGAATGTGGAGCTTACTTTCCTTTCCCTTGACATTGGGCTTGACCACGTGCCTTGCTCTGGTCAGTGAAATGTTAGCAACATGGAAAAAGCAAGGACTTGGAATGTGCTGTGTGGGTGGGCATCTTTTCCTGCACCTCGCCTCTGCCATGAGATGACCATGCCACACCCATCCTGCCCATCCAGGGTGGACGAGACCCCCAGCTAGAGTAGTGCCTCCCCAGCCAGCTCCAGCCTGTCGTGAAGAAGCAGAGCTATCCTAGCCACCATGAAAGTGAAAGTGAAACTTGCTCAGTTCCGTACAACTCTTTACGACCCCATGGACTGTACCGCGCCAACCTCCTCTGTCCATGGAATTCTCCAGGCAAGAATACTGGATCGAGTTGCCTATCCCTTCTCCAGGGGGTCTTCCTGACCCAGGAATTGAACCAGGGTCTCCTGCATTGCAGGCAGATTCTTTAGCAGCTGAGCTACCAGGGAAGCCCACCATGATTTGAAGCAGAATTTCCTGGCTGAAAGTCCAGCCAAGTTTCCACTGACCTGAATATCTTTGAGAATAGATATTCATTATCATATACCACTGAGATTTTTGTTGTTATACTGCATAACTAACTGATACACAAGGGATCAACACCATGTGCTTAGACAACTCTAGTTCCTATTTAAAAATATCTTTTCCTCTCAATTTATTAAAAATAAAAATAAATCATTAAGCACTCACAACATGTCCATTCCCAAGTTTGGTGTGATGTGTTTATAGGTTTGGGTTACTGTTTTTGAGGATCTCAGCATGGGGGAGGTAAAAGATGATCACAAAATATGATGTTAAGCAACGCTTCCTTTGGGCGGGGAGTAATGATCTCTGAGTGAAGTCTTGGGGGAGGAAAAAGAGGGGAGGGATGCTCAAGGCAGAAAGGAGCGAAGCAAGCTTGTTCATTCATGGAACACAAGCCCTTTTTGTGCTGGGCTGTTACCCTTAGCATAGACAGGCAACCCCCTCACCGCTTCCAACACTCCCCCTCCCTCCAACCCAAGTGTGTGCGATTTCCGAGTTAATCTGTCTGCACTAATTAAATATTGACGGCTGTTAAATATTCATGGGGCGTTTTAGCTGGCAGGTTTGATGTCTCCAGGCCCTGCCGGCTGCAGCTCCGCTGACGGGCCATTTTGACTGGGCACTTTGCTCTCCTGACCGCCCCTCTGTCATCCAGATGTTCCCAGCTGCTCTGGGCGACCTCACCTGCTGGGGAGTGCTCAGACCCCACCCAGACATGCCCCGTGAGCCTGCTCCTGCGGGAGGTGGTGCCGGCAGCTTTGGCCCCCGGGGGAGATTGTCACGTGCCACAGTAGGACTCTGGCCTGGGGTGCAGGTGTGGATGGGGAAGGGGAGGAGCCCAGGGGTCATTGAGAGGCCAGGTGGCCTGGCTCCAGTGGGGACTCCTGCAAGTTCCTGCCTTCCATCGACTTCCACTGGCAGCTCCGGTTCTGGGCTGCCTGGGAGGTGCGGGGAGAGCGGTGACCAAGGACAGAGACTCTCAGATCCCTGCAGAAGGTCAGACTGAGTGGCGGTGGTCCTGCAAAGGGTGGTTGCGAGCCCCAGGGAGAGTGCCGTGGTGGGCGGGGAGGGATGTCTCACACACAGGAGCTGAGGAGTCTCAGGAGACGCCAGCCAGACTGGGGAAGGGGAGGTCAGGGCAGGCTTTGCAGGCTGAGACCGCAGGCGGAATCCTGGGAGATGAGCAGGAACCAGATCGGCTGGTACAAGAGGATTATCATGGAAGGTCTCCCATGAGGGGAAGGGCACAGACAGTGAGTGCCTGGGCAAGATCGAGAGAGAGGAGCCCTGCGAGTGGGCATGGAGGCGTTCTGGAGGCTGGGTGCAGACAGGGGCGGCGTGGAGGGCTGGGGGTCCTGCCGTGCCCACGGTCAAGGCCTGTGCTTCCTTCCCTTCTCATCCTCTAAGCCCAGCCCGCCCCAGCGCCTCGCTCCCCAAATTCCTGGTTACCTCCCCTCTCTCTTCCGGTGATTCAGACGGTAAAGAATCTGCAGGCAAGGCAGGGGATGAGGATTTGATCCCTGGGTCGGGAAGATGCCCTGAAGGAGGGCATGGCCACCCACTCCAGTATTCTTGCCTGGAGAATCCCATGGACAGGGGAGCCTGGTGGGCTAGAGTCCATGGGGTCACAAAGGGTCAGACACGGAGCGCCTTTCATTTCACTTCTACTTCCTGTGGGGGGAGGACGGGTGGGAACGGGAGGGTCAGGAGGGTTGAGGTCAGAAAGCAGGAAGTCCTGGGAGGGGACTTCTCCCTGGCTGGTTGGAAAGTCGGTTCATTGCTGGGTTTTCTTCATTTTTTAAAATTATAGTTGCTTGGGTTAGGTTCAGGTTCAGGGCCTAGTGATTCAGGATTTTTGCAGATTATTTTCCATTAGAGGTTATTTCAAGACACTGGGTGTAATTCCACTGATGCTTTGTGCTACAGAGTCACACAGACTTGAAGTGGGGGCCAGCATCTTTTTAGGCCTAAGAAACTAGTTTCCTGAAAAGGGCTCATCTCCCAGGAAAGGAGGTCGGATTGCAAGGCACATGTGGAGGTCAGTCAGCTTGCAGCCACAGGCCACTGGCCACAGGCAGACAGCTCCCCGAGGCCCGGAGGAGACCCCAGGACCGCCCACCTGCCCCCTTCCCTCTGGGCTGTGGGTCCATTGTTGGCCTTGGGCACCTCTGTGTGGCTTCAAAACTCAGTGCAGGGCCGGGGTGTCCAAGACAGCCACCTTCCTACTGGGCATGCAGCTCCAGTTAGGGTTGGGGATGGAGGAGGTGGGGAAGGAGGAGGGGAGGGGCATCCTTGTGGTTCGGGGAGACACCAGCCAGGTGATAACGCGCGTCATCTCTCCCTCTAGAAGGGGAGGCTGTGCCCTTCCTGTGCTGGGTCCCCGAGTCTGCCTGGCCCCAAGGACCTGTGGATCCCACTGCATTGACCTTCGGGCCCAAGGAAATCTGCGAATCTGGAATGTTCCCTTGGGAAACAACCCGAGGCAACGACGCAGACAGCGGCAACTGTGACCTGGGCCCTGAGTGCCACTGTATCAACGCCGCACACGTGTTATCTCGTGGGGCCCTGCCAGCTAGAAACCTCTGTGACCCACACTTCACAGGCAAGGAAATCGAGGCTCAGAGAGGCTGAGAAACCTGTCCAGGGTCACAGATGGCCTCTGGACCCAGGCGGCCTGACTCCAGAGTCCACGTCCTCCGTTCAGGGCTAGTGGTTTTCAAACTGCCCTGAGGCAAGCATCCTCTTGGGTTGTTCAGTCGCTCAGTCATGTCCGACTTTACGACCCCACGGATCGCAGCATGCCAGCCTTCCCTCGGGAGCTTATTAAAATGCAGATCCCAGGCCCATCTTGGTCCCGAGAATCCGATCCTCAGGGAAGGGCTAGGAAGCAGGCTGGGCTGGCGGGTGGGTCCTCTGTTCACTGTGCTGTCACCCGCAGTCTGGCGGTATCCCCCCCAGGGACGGAGCGGGTGGGGAGTCCGCCTGGGAATGGGAACCCCCGCCTGATGACCCCAGCAGCTTTGGTGTTTCGCAAAGTGCGCTTTGAGGTGCCAGCCTGACTTGGCGCTGCTAATGGAGCCCGGAAGAGTTAGCGTTTCCCTTGGCCAGAGCTATAAAACGGAGTCTGTAAAACACGGGGCGGCCCCATAGCTCTGGCAGCAGAAACCAGGGAGGAGGGCCAAGGGGAAGGAAGGGCTCAGGGACCGAATTCAGGGCTCACTGTTTGGCCAGCCAGGCCCTCTTGAGAGCGACGGAGTCAGAAATGTGTTGGGATCCTCTCTCACTGGCCGTGAGGTCTTGAGTAAGCAACTGATGGCCTCCAAGGCTCAACATTCTGATCTGCAGAATGGGCTGATGGCAGGATGTGCAGAATGGGCAGAATGGGCTGATGGGCTACCCTCCAGGGCAGCTATAAGCCCCAGACAGATGTGTGAAGAACAGAACACCAACATGTGAGGCTGTCACGGCTAACGCCATGACAGGCAGCCTAGATTAGGAGTAGGCCTGGTTTCCTGGGGTAACATAATTATCAGGCCTCCTGGAGCTAGCCAATCAACATATGCCTAGCAAGAAAAAGGGAACCTATCAGGGGAAAGCTGAAAGCCCCACGTTGGGCCAACAAAATTGCCTTGCAACTGTATAACCAATCCGCTTGCGCCAACTACCCGCTTGTAACCAATCCGCTTGCGCCAACTACCTGCTGCTTCTTTTTGACCTAATAAGTACCCGAGAGAATTGGGGCTCGGGGCCTTTTAGTCCTCACACCCTTGGTGAGGGCGGGAGGTCCTGGCTCGAGTCAGTAATAAATTCCCCTATTGCAAGTTGCATTGTTTCGAGGAGTCTTCTTTCCCGACCGGGGACTCGGACTACGGGCAGAACAAACAGCAGCGACCTCTTACATAGTACTTTGCTGTTGCTTAATCACTAAGTCAAGTCCAACTCTTTTGCAGCCCCATGGACCGCAGCTCGCCAGGCTCCTCTGTCCATGGGCTTTCTCAGGCAAGAAGACTGGAGTGGGTTATTTCCTTCCCCAGGGCATCTTCCCAACCCAGGGATCGAACCCACGTCTCCCGCTTTGGCAGGTGGATTCTTCACCACTGAGCCACCATGGAGTTACTTCCACTGTTCTGTGGGCTTTACATGCATTAACTCCTTTAATCCTCACAACAGCCCTGCCAGGCTGGTATCATGACTGTTCCTGGTTGTGAGACTGGGGCGTGGAGATGTTCACACACTTGCCTGCAGCCTGCAGGCGGTAAGAGGCAAAGCTGGGGATTGAGTCTTGCTTCTCAGACTCCAGAGTTGTTCTCTTAACACCCAGAGGTGTCCAAAAATAATAGTCTCTCTACCTCTTCATTGCCAAAACTTCTGGAAAATTCTACGCTTTGTTATGAACAAGGCCCCTCTTCTGTGGATGATCCTTCTCTCAGGAAGCCCCCTGGGCTGAGAATGGCTATCTCCTTGGTCAGCTTGAGGCAAGAGGTAGATAGACGCCCCCTCCACCCCCCACCCCCTTGCCAGGGTAAAACAATTGGAGATTCATTCCCTGTGAACCGAGACTCCAAGACCAGAAGAGCAAGACAGTTAAGGCAGGAAGCTAGGCCCTGTCCAGGCCACATCTCTCTCATTCTCAATGTGAGGAGACCTCCCAGACCACACATGCACAGAAAAGCTCCTTGGAGGTCAAAGGGTAGTGATGTCAAGGGATGATCTACCCATAGATAGGCCTTTGGGGTAGAATCCATCTTGGCTAAGAGATGCATGCACACACATGGGAGGATCCTCAGATACATCAAATATGGACTGTGAACCAGGCAAATCAAAACAACCGGCCAATGGAAAACCAGATGAAATGCCCCATAAAAGTAATTCAAACTGCCATGCAGGTGTGACTCTGACTCTCTCTCTGAGCCTGCCCATGTACCTATTTACACATACTGTACCCTATTTTCCTCCTAATAAATACTTTACTTGCTTCAGTACCTTGCATCTTTGTGGAATTCTTTTCTGCTAAGCTGAAAAGCCAGGCCCTTGTCACTGACCCCTGGCCTGGTGGCTAGGATCTGGTGCTCTCTCCACCGTGACCCGGCCTCAATCTCTGGCTGGGGAACCGAAGCCCTGCTTCAAGCTGCTGCAGGCTGAGGCCACCCAAGATCAAGCTGAGGCCCTTTTATGGGAGAGTCACCCACTCACCCACCGCCCACTCGTCATTGCACAGTTGTTCGGTGAGCCCTTGTCACACACCCGGTCCTGGGGACACAGTGTGGATACTGACTATGACTCCAGGGGGAACACAATCGTGAACAACAACAAAAAGGCAAATAACAAGAAAGTAAGTAAACTGTACAGCGTGTCAGGGTGCAACCATGAAACGGAGCAGGACCCTGTGGGGCCTTCTGGGGACCGGCCTTCTCCCTGTCCTCTGCTTTAGATCCTCCGGGAAGTATCTGGATAACAGTATCTGATGCACATTTGCTGAGTTGTTTTGCAGATGTAAAAAACCTCCCCAACTCCAGCAAAAGTGAAAGTGAAAGTCGCTCAGTCATGTCCTACTCAGTCTATGGAATTCTCCAGGCCAGAATACTGGAGTGGGTAGCCTTTCCCATCTCCAGGATATATTCTTCCCAACCCAGGGATCAAACCCAGGTCTCCCGCATTGCAGGTGGATTCTATACCAGCTGAGCCACAAGGGAAGCCCCTTCACCAAAGCAAAGATGTTAACTACTTGAGGATGAGGGAGCACATAGCCCCAGGCCTCTTGGAGCCAAAGGACTGATAATGCTAACCCCTGCTACCCCACCATCTGCCAATCAGAGAACAGTGCTCAAGCTGATCACAGACCCTGTGACCCCCACTCTCTCATCTGGCTTTTAAAAGTGCTTTGCCTAAAAGTGCGTTGGGGGAGCTCAGGGCTTTTTAGGGCACGAGCCCACCCATCTTCTTGCATGGCCTTGCAATAAACCTTTCTCTGCTCCAAAGGACAAGGTTTCCCAGCCTCTGTGGGGGGCGTGACCTGAGGGGGTGAGGGAGCCACGTGGGCGGGAGACGTGGAGAAGGTGCCAGGGGGACAGACGCCAGGAACAAAGCCGGGAGACCGGGGTGGCCGGGGAGGGGACAGTGGAGATGCAGGACACGGACGGACAAGACCTGCCTCCTCGGGGTTTGGATGGGCTGCCCGGGCTGCCGTGCAGAGCGGCCTGTAGGGCCAGGGTGGGTCGGGGGCCCTTCAGGAGGGCCAGGTGACAGATGGCAGTGGTGGCCGGGGCGGGTGTCATGTCTGAGACGGTCAGGAGGGCTCGGACGGTGACGGGTGGTATTTTGAAGGTAGAAGCAACAGTATTTGCTGTCAGGCTGAGTGTCAAATGGGGAGGGAGAAGTGAGTCCAAGGGTTTTGGCCAGAGCAATGAGAAGGATGGAGTGACCACTGACCGAAATGCAGGAAGAGTGGGGTTTAGTGTGTGTGTGGGGGGGGAATGTTTGGTTTCTAACTATAGGTTTTATCTCTACCTATAGGTTCAAGGAGGAAACTGGAATGCAGTTTGAATTTAGGGAGGTGTCAGGACCAGAGATGTAAATTTGAGAGTTATCAGCATACAGCAATAGACGGTGTTTTAAATGGTGACACTGGATGAGAAGGCCCAGGGAGGAGCAAGATAGATAGGAAAGAGCAGAGGTCTGAGGTCTCAGCGGAGATATTCACAGGGCAGGCCGCAGAGGAGGAACCAGCGCGTGTCACCCGCAGCCTTCAGAGTGAGGCGGGGTGGGTTCCAGGCGCTGGGTTCCCGGCCTTTCCCAGCGCCAGCCTGCGCTTTCGGCGGCCTTCTCCTCCCTCTAGTGGTCACAGTTGGGATTGCACCCAGCGTCACATTTCCTGGGGTCTTCTGATTCACTTCACTTGCTCATTAAGTGAGTGCATATGCGCTAAGTCGCTACAGTCATATCCGACTATTTGCGACGCTATGGCCCATAGCCCACCACGCTCCTCTGTCCATAGGATTCTCCAGGGCAAGAATACTGGAGTGGGATACCATGCCCTTCTCCAGGAGATCTTCCCGACCCAGGGGTTGATCCCAAGTCTCTCATGTCTCTTTAATTGGCAGGCGGGTTCTTTACCACTAGCGCTACCTGGGAAGCCCGTTCATTCGGTAGACAATCTCTAAGTGACTGCTATGCTCTGGGCTCCCCTGGTGGCTCAGCCGGTAAAGAACCTGCCTGCCATGCAGGAGACCCAGGTTCCATCCCTGAGTCAGAAGATCCCCTGGAGAAGGGAAAGCTACCCACTCCTGTATTCTTGCTTGGAGAATCCCATGGACAGAGGAGTCTGGTGGGCTATGGTTCATCGGGTCACAAAGAGTTGGATGCAACTGACTGACACAGACACACATGTTCTGGGCACTGACCGATGCAGAAGAGAATGGAATCCTTTCCTAAAATTCAGAATGGAAGAAAAGACACAAACCCAACAACTGTCAGACTGTGATTGCCAGCTGGATGTAGTTTTAGCAATGTCTGGAAATGATTTTTCAGTTGTCACACAAGGGTGGAGAGTGAGTGGATTGCTACCAGTGTCTAGTGGGTAGAGGTCAGGGATGCTGCAAAAGATTCTATTGTGCACAGGACATCCTTCTATGGCGAAGAGTTATCTGGCCCAAACGTCAAGAAGTGTTTTGACGCTGAAAAGTATCGATCCAAGACAACACTCAGTTGTTATAAAAGGAAATAAGAAATGTTAGTCACTCAGTCACATCTGACTCTTTGTGACCCATGGACTGTAGTCTGTCAGGCTCCTCTGTCCGTGGGATTCCCCAGGCAAGAATTCTGGAGTAGGTTTCCATTCCCTTCTCCAGGGGATCTTCCTAACCCAGGGATGGAACCTGAATCTCCCGCCGTGCAGGCAGATTCCTTCCCATCTGAGCCACTGGGGGAGCTCTAGTAGAGGTGGTTACCAAACCGTTTGGGTGCAGAGGAGAGAGTAATCAGGCCTGTCTTTGGGAGGCAGAGAAGGCTTCTCTTCACAGAGGATGTGTGGCTGTCACTTCTCTTGAAGAATGGGTAGGGTTTGCCAAGTAGAAAGGGGAGAGATTAGAAAAGAGATGATGGGGGCATGCTCAAATCATGCCCCTAAAGAACCTGGCTTAGCTAGGTTGACCACAGGCCAGGTGTAGGGTGGACAGGCCCGTTCACACAAGATATTCCATCATCAGTTCAGTTCAGTCGCTCAGTCGTGTAGGACTCTTTATGACCTCATGGACTGCACCACGGCAGGCTTCCCTGTCCATCACCAACTCCCAGAGCTTGCTCAAACTCATGTCCATTGCGTCAGTGATGCCATCCAACCATCCCCTCTGAGCATCTCTGGGAAAGCCAGGCCTGGGTGAGGGTTGGCAAGAACATGCCAAGGGCACCCCACAGGAATGAGGACAGATGGAAGCCCTCCCAGCCCAGAGCACGGGACCCAAGGGGCATCGTTTGGCCTCCTTCTGCCCTTGCAGGCCCTCCCTTGTTGCCTGTCCCCAGGTGGAAGTGATGATGAAGTGAGGGCAAAAGCCAGGGGTCAAGATTTAACTTCAACTTTTCTGCTGCCTCCCAGGTGGTTCAGTGATAAAGAATCTGCCTGTTAAGGCAGGAGATGCGGGTTTGATCCCTGGGTTGGGATAGGTCCCCTGGAGAAAGCAAATGGCAACCTGCTCCTGTATTCTTGCCTGGGAAAACTCATGAACAGAGGAGTCTGGTGGGGCTTCAGTCATGGGGTCACAAAAGAGTAGGCCGTGACTTGGTGACTAAACAACTGCTGCAGACAAGCCTTGTGATCTGGGGCGGGTTTCAGCTCTTTCTGGCTTTGTGTTTTTCCATTTGTCCCAGGATCAAGTGGACCAAATGACCCTTAAGAAGCTTTCCAGTCTCCACCTCTTCTGTCCTTGCACTCCTGAGCCCCTCCGAGAGGTGGGTCCTGCAGCCCCCCAGTCCCCCATTCTGGAGTTTTAGCTTCTGATCAGCCATTGGGTGGGACCTCTTCCCAGCTCCAGGACTTGGGTCTTGAACAAAACGGGGACAATTCTATTCACTTGGAGAAGGCAGTCCTGTGGGACATGTGTTATCAAGTGCTCCCCTGGGGCATCCCAAGAGTCTCACGCTTGGAATCTATGGCTGTGAATTCCCAAGACCCTTCCCCCTCGGGACATGTGTCTGATGGAGCAAGCCCAGTCATGTTTCTGGAGAGCAGGTAATCAGGCTTTGCATTAGGAAAACCAGAAAGGGCACAGCCTGAAAAGCCATCAGAGAGGACACTGTCTTGCTATGTACAGAGGGCTTAATTTGAGTGGGCAGAGGTGACAGCAGTTGGGGCTGAGGCCGCGGGAGGGGGCTTTCTAACAAGACAACCTGCTTTTGCAAGTGACTCATAGCTCCCCGGGAGGGGGTGTGGGTGGATCATCTCCATCCATAGAACTGAGGTTCAAAGGGGAGCTCTTTCAGTGTATGGTAAGCACATGGGTGGAGAACCTAGACACTCTGACTTGTTTGAAGCTGTTTCCGGAACATCTATTCTGATGCCTTTTCTTTGACAGAGGAGGATGCCAGGGTCTAGGACGATAAAGAGACCCACAGGTCATCTAGCTGCTCAGCGACACCCTGGGGACCAGATCTGACCACTTCACCAGGGTCTCCTGCATGTAACAGGGTAAATGACTAGTGATGTCGTCTGTCTCTCTTATTTCAGAAATTACCTGTCTCTGTGCTTCCCTCTCCCTAGATACATCATCAAATGACATCACACAAAAGTCTCTTCCATTATGAAAAAGACCAAGAGAATTTAAACAATAGAGCAAAGTAGGAAGAAAAATCATTCCACTACCTAAGCATTAATTTTTGGGTACATTTGCTTCCATTGTTTTACCTGTATATGATTTTTTTTTTCCTTTTCACATAGTTGAGTTCATATTAACTAGACCATTTCACGCCCTGATTCCCTTCACACTATCATAAGGATTTTCCATGGTATTACATACACTTCATAAATGTCATTTTGAAGGTAGCAAGCTCACTGGACCAACTTTTGATTGCTCGATGTTAAACCTGTTTCCAATCTTTCACTGTTACACACAGTGCTTCAAAGAGCTTCATGTAGGATCACTTTGAATATTTGGGATGATTTTCTTGGGCTGGAAGTTTAGGGAGACTGCTGCAGACATGCACACAGGTGCTCCCATGGTTTGCTTTCCCATGGGTGACCCAGCCTTGGGGGTCCCAGACAGAAGGCTGACAGGTCTCCTCTCCTCTCTCTACAGCCTTTCTGAAGCCTGATTTCTTTTTCTCATTTTCTCACTCAGGACCTATAACTTCTTTCCTGAGACCCCTCCATGAAAACCCATCACATTCACCAGGATTCTCTCTCTCTGTTGAAAGTGAAGGAAAAAAAAAATCACACCCTAAAAAATATCATCAAAAATAGAACATATTGTTTCAATAAACTGAAAAGTTCTGGCTTCAGCTATGGCTGGATCCAGGCACTGAGGTAATATGATCAGAGCCTGATTTTTCACTGACTCTAAGCCCAGTTCTGCTGGTGGCTCTATCTTGAGGCCCCACACACTGTCAGGAAGACTGTAGAAGACTAGTTTCAGCCTGCTTGTTTCCATGCCTGCAGGAGAGATAAAGTTTCTTGCTGGTGGCTCCTACATAAACCCTAGAATCCACTCTGATTGGACTTAGTTGCTCACTCACTCCTGAACTAATCACTGTCATATGGCCTGACCTTAAACCTAGACAGGAAAGAAGTTATAGGTCCTGAGTGAGAAAATGAGAAAAAGAAATCAATGCAGACTTCAGAAAGGCTGTAGAGAGAGGAGAGGAGACCTGTTAGCCTTCTGTCTGGGACCCCCAAGGCTGGGTCACCCATGGGAAAGCAAACCATGGGAGCACCTGTGTGCATGTCTGCAGCAGTCTCCCTAAACTTCCAGCCCAAGAAAATCATCCCAAATATTCAAAGTGATCCTTACATGAAACTTAGTCTCCTGTGGAGGTACGGGTCAGCAGTGGTCTGCCGCAGGGACAGAGGCTCTGGGTGCACCAGACATGGGTATGGCATAAGCCCTCTTAGAGGAGGTCACCATTAACCCCACCATAGAGCTTCCAGAACTTACATGGGACTGGGAAATAGACTCTTAGAGGGCACAACAGAAACTAGTGCACCAGGACCCAGGAGAAAGGAGCAGTGACCCCAAAGGAGACTGCCCTGGACTTGCCTGTGGGTATCTGGGAGTCTCCAGCAGAGGCGTGGGTCCATGGTGGCCTGCTGCAGGGTTGGAGGCACTGAATGTAGCAGTACATGCATAGGAATCTTTTGAAGGAGGTCACCATTATCTTCATTACCTCCACCACAGTTTGGGTCCAGGTAAATAGCAGGGAGGGAACACAGCTCCACCCATCAACAGAAAATTGGATTAAAGATTTACTGAGCATGGCCCNAACTCAACATTCAGAAAACTAAGATCATGGCATCCAGTCCCATCACTTCATGGCAAATAGATGGAGAAACAGTGGAAACAGTGTCAGACTTTATTTTCAGGGGCTCCAAAATCACTGCAGATGGTGACTGCAGCCATGAAATTAAAAGATGCTTACTCCTTGGAGAAAAGTTATGACCAACCTAGACAGCGTATTAAAAAGCAGAGATGTTACTTTGCCAACAAAGGTCCATCTAGTCAAGGCTATGATTTTTCCTGTAGTCATGTATGGATGTGAGAGTTGGACTATAAAGAAAGCTGAGTGCTGAAAAATTGATGTTTTTGAACTGTGCTGTTGGAGAAGACTCTTGAGTGTCCCTTGGACTGCAAGGAGATACAACCAGTCAATCCTAAAGGAGATCAGTCCTGCATATTCACTGGAAGGACTGATGCTGAAGCTGAAACTCCAATACTTTGGCCACCTGATGTGAAGAGTTGACTCATTTGAAAAGACCCTGATGCTGGGAAAGATTGAAGGCAGGAGGAGAAGGGGGTGACAGAGGATGAGATGGCTGGATGGCATCACTGACTCAGTGGACATGAGTTTGAGTAAACTCCAGGAGTTGGTGATGCACAGGGAGGCCTGGCGTGCTGCAGTCCATGGGGTTGCGGTCGGACATGACTGAGTGACTGAACTGAACTGAATTGAAACTTAGACAACTTGCATAACATGCTTTATGCCTAGGGCTGGGGTTGACTCTCCTTATCCCCAGAGCCTATAGATTAGGAGAGGTGGTCCCTGCAAAGTGTGCTTGGGGCATTTATTATCCCAAGAAAGGGGAATGGAACCTGGAGGGGGGAAACACAATAAAATAGATGCTGCTGTATTTGGGAAAAGACTCAGAAGTATAGCATTTGGGAACTGAGAGCTCCTGGGAACACATGCCTCTGCCCTTCCAGAGAAAGAGGAGCCTGTGTAACAGTCTCTGAGAAGCAGCCCTTCTGATTCTGCTGTTTGCCTCTAATGACAGGGAGCTCACCACCACTGACCAGACCAACTAACTGTGCCTCTGGGATAGCTGTAATCACAATAGGATGAAGTCTCCTCTCCACTGAAAGTTCAGTGAGACCCACCCATCTACCTAACCGTACCCACACTGGACCCATCTGGGGGCCATCAGACACGTGACTACTGGAATCAGAGCCATCCTGAGGTCTTCTTGAATCAACGGCCCCTGGACTTTGTTGGGTGGGCTCAGTTTCCCGTCCTTGCCATTAATGTGCTTGCTCCCGTAGGCTCCCATTAGTCAGTATAAAGTCAAGAACTGACCATGAGGCTGGGGTCTGAGGCAAGCGCACAGATTCTGACTTTCTGAGAAGTCTTTAGTAAGCGACTCAGGCCTCCTCCTTAAAGAGCTACCCAGCTGCAGACAGAGGTCGTTCCAGTCCAGGCACCCGAGTCATTCCTTCCCTTGTGACTCATGTGAATTGCTCTTTTAACCAGTTTCAGGGCCCTGAAAGCCAAAGTCACAAGCCCAACCATGTGTTACTTCAAAGGAGACTTATTACATTTAACAGAAGGGATCCTTTTCAAAAAGAGAGCTCCAGGTGCGTGGCGCGGGCCAATGTGCCCCCCGTGCGGCTGACTGCCTGGTTCTCCCCATGAGCCCCCTTCCCTGCCGCTGCTGCCCTGATGCTCAGAGCCGCCTCCTGCCCTTGTCAACATCCAGCACCTCCCAGGCCCAGCAGATCATAGTCCACGCAGCACAGGGCAAGATGCCTGTGACTTGGTGACCCTGCAGCATCTTGTCCATCTGATTCTCCTCCTGCGGCCCCAGGGGGCTGCCATTCAAGATAGCCACCAACGCCCCCTTGTTGGCCAGCCCTCAGTGTGTGCTGCCACCGTCCCTCCAGTTGCCAAAAAAAAGCAAGCAAGGGGTCTGGGAAATATCCATCCGGTGGTTCAGTCAGAGTCAGAGCTGGGTGACTCGTTTTAACTCTCTGCCATCCGTGTGGGTTAGGGTGATTCTTGCTGCTGTAACAAATAAACCCTCAGATGCAACAGAAGCTATATATGTATATGCATATATATGTATTTACATATAATATATTATAATTTTTTAAATTTATTTTTAATCAGCAGATGATTGCTAAAGCTGAAGATCCAATACTTTGGCCACCTGATGTGAAGAGCCGACTCATGGGAAAAGACTCTGATGCTGGGAAAGAGCGAAGGAAAAGAGTGAAGGCTAAAAGGAGAAGGGGGCGGCGGCAGAGGATGAGATGGTTAGACAGCATCACCACCTCAGTGGGCGTGAATTTGAGCAGACTCCAGAAGAGAGTGAAGGACAGAGGAGCCTGGCGTGCTGCAGTCCATGGGGTCGCAAAGAGCCGGACACGACTTAGCAACTGAACAACAAAATGCTTTACAATGCTGTGTTGGTCTCTGTCATACAACAACATGAATCGGCCATGAGTATGCACATGTCCCCTCCCTTTCGGGCCTCCCTCCCAAGTCCCCTCCCATCCCTCCAGGTCTTCGCAGAGCACCAGCCTGAGCTCCCTGTATCACACGGCGGCTTCCCACTAGCTGTCTATTTGACACATTAGGTAGCGTGCATATGTCAAAGCCACTCTCTCAATTCATCCCACCCTTTCCTTCCCCCTCTATGTCCAGAAGCCCATTCTCTGTCTGTCTTTATTCCTGTTCTGCAAATAGATTTATCAGTACCATTTTTCTAGATTATATATATATATATACATATATATATATATATATATATATGTTAATATAGGATATTTGCTTTTCTTTTCCTGACTTACCTCCCTCTGTATAACAGGCTCTAGATGCAAGTCATATATTTCCTCCCTCAGCCACGGGCCTGGAGTGCGATCAGGTCATCAGGAGGCTGCCCTTCGTGGTGTCTCTGGACCCACCCTGGGCTGCTGGAAGCTCGGCCACCTTCAACTAAGGGCTTCCAGTAAACAATCCAAGGGTCACTTCCATTCAGCCAGCCGGAGAGGGGCTCCAGCAAAGAGAAGGCTCACCAGGAGTTGTGGGGGTGGGGGGCGGTCCCGGAAGTGACACATGTCCCTGGTGATCACCCATTGGCCAGGGCAGACCTTTATCATGTGACGGCCAGACCCTGGGAAAGACAGTCTAGCTGCGGGCCAAGAGGAGGACATAGACGTTGGTGATCAGAGAGAAGTCTTTGCCACATGATTGCAACCCAAATGACAAGCTTGGACTACTCCAAGGGCTCAGCGGTCAAGAATCCGCCTGCAATGCAAGAGCCTCAAGAGATGCAGGTTCTCTCCCTGGGTCAGGAAGATCCCCTGGAGGAGGGCTCATCAACCCACTCCAGCATTCTTGCCTGGAGAATCCCATGGACAGAGGAGCCTGACGGGCTACAGTCCATAGGATCACAAAGAGTCAGACACAACCGAAGCAACATAGCATGCATGCATGCAGGGTTGGAAGGACGTGGCTGCAGGGTGGCCAGGCAGTCAGCCAGTCTTTGTGGCCAGTCTTACAAGACTCCCCTCCAACTCTTCTTCAAGCCCAGGTCCCAGCACCCTTGGCTGGTTACGTGACCCATTCTCAGGGCAGAGGCAGGCACATAAACCCTCAAGGGGATTCTCCCGTCTCTCCACTCCCCTCTTTTCTTCTCAAACACACATCAGACATGATTTAAAGACATCCTGATAGAATCATCTGCACACATTCTGCAACTTCAGCTAAATCGCTGGGGATGTCTGAAGGCTTGTCGGGCAAGAGCGGCTGTAATTTGTAACTTGGAGACACACAGAAGCTCGGGGATGGATTGCTGATAACACGGTGTGATCGACGTACAGCCTTTCCTGACTTGCGAGAACAGCCCTTCAGCTACTGCTTTTCCATCTTGTCAGCTCACTTTATATTAACGTTCACTCCCTTTCAAAGGACCAACCCCGACTCAAGTATCTTTTACAGACTCTCAGCCGGCTCAGGGGCTGTAACTATTGTCTTGATGCCCAAGTTCAAGTTCCACTTGTTTTTTTGCTTGACAGCTTCCCCAAGAGGGATCCTCCTAACCGCTTACCCCCAGGGTGGTCGGATAGGCGCTCCCTACCCCAACCAGAACCTCACTGCTCTCTAGTCGTTAGGTGCTCCTGATTCAGCTTTCTTTCCCGAATCTATCTCCGGAATGGTCCATCCTTCAGGGAATCCCAGTCTTCTAAGAATAACAGTCAGGAGTGGTTGCATTTGCACTTGTGACTGTGTTGATATCACGTCCATGCTTCTTGATAACAAGCAAGGCATCTCCATTGGCCACTGGGTCGTCTCAGCTGAGAAAGGATTTTTTGTTTTTTTAAAGTCATGGGTTGATGCTGATGTACTGGTGATCATACCATGTCATCAAACCCCTTCTTTTATTACTTTCACATAAGAACCTCTTGATTTATGTCCTCGTTTCCTTTTCAAAGCTCTCAGCATTCCCTCTCACAGACAGACAAGTTTCTAAATGCCAAGCCATACCTGGTCAAATGAAACTGTATGCGGAATTATCATAACACCCACAGCTTTCAAAACATTGACACTCAAATGCCAACCTGTGGCTACTTACTCTTCTAATAGCGCTTTATGGCATTCTACATGCCACACATCTGTTAATGTTTATCTGAGTCGGGGGCTGGCTTTCCTGATTGACTTTTCCCGCTTTACTCGATTTATTAACAGCAGTTTCTATAGCCAGCACATTCAGGAAACTGGTAACAGATAATTTCATCTGAGGTTCCATGTGTCCTTTCAATATGCTTGGATCCTTTCCAAGCATTCCTTTAAGAAAGAACACTCCACTGTGAATAAGATGTGGACTCTACCAGAATCCTTTCCTGTTTAGACTGGCTTTAGAATAATCCTATTCACATAGCATACAGCACAGCCAGGTCATTTTTACTCAGGGCAGATGGCCCTGAATTATTTCGGGAAGGCGTGTGTGTGTTTGGTGGGGATGCACGGGGAACGGGGGTGGTTTAGGAGTGGAAGGTAGTGATGAGAAACAGCAGGGTTGACGTGACCGTGGGAAGACCATTCTGGGCCCCAGGAGAGAAGCATTCCAGACTCACCAGATCTATGGTGATAGAGGAGACACAGACACACACAGAGACACACAGACACACACACACACAGAGACACACAGACACACACTCACAGACACACACAAACACACACTCACAGACACACACAAACACACACAGACACACACAGAGACACACACAGACACACACAGACACACACAGACACACACACAGACACACGCAGAGACACACAAACACACAGGCACACACAGACACACACACAGACACACGGAGACATACACACAGACACATACACACAGACACACACAGAGACACACGGACACACACACACAGAGACACACAGAGACACGGACACACACACAGAGACACACACAGACACACACACAGACACACGGACACCCACACAGACACACACAGAGACACACACAGAGACACACACACACACACACACACACACACGCTGAGCTTCTATGGCCACTGCCTGCGCGATTCTGCTTCTCCCGCCTGGAACACTGCCTCCCGCCACGTCTGCCCAACCTCTGAGCTGTCCTGTCTCTGCCTGTGATGTTCTGTCATGCTGTCCACACCCTCGGCCTCCTGCACGTGACACTGCATCTACACCTCTCGTACCATTTGCCACACACTCAGGTGTGGTATGTATGTGTGTGTATGTATATTTGCATGCGGGTCTCTCTGTGTGCCTATCTTCCCTTTTGACCACGGGCTGTTAGGGTTAAGAAACATTTCTTCCTCATCTTAATATCTCTGTTGTCTGGCATGGGGTCAACACTCATCGATTTGTGAATGGATGACTAAATTTGGTATTCAACTTATAAAATCTCAGCAAGCATTAAACTTGAAGGGAATGCTATCCAGTCCAAAGTCTACTCTTTGTCAATACCCAGGAAGATATTTGAGGTGCATACTCACGATGACCATGGATATTTCATAGAAACATTTCCAGAACCTACCATGCCCCCACATCCATCATTCACAGTGGCATCATCTTATCCCACTCTTAACCCATTTTGCTTTATTTGGCCAGGCCCCTCTTCTTTGACCTTATCACAGGCAATACCACTACTGATGTGTTTTTGTTTCTTTGGGGCTAATACCATGAACTCTGTTACCAGAGAAAGGATTGCCAGGTTGGAGAATATAAACAGCTCTCACTCTGATTGCCTGATTGCTTATGTAAATTGGTCCAGTCTTTCTCGAAAGCAGTGCCGAAGGATGTGTTTTCACTGGCTGCCCATCTTGGGTTTCATCACATTTATTTATTTATTTATTTATTGCGGCTTTAATAGTCATGTAATGAGACCTGAGAGGTGCTTGGTTCTAAATTTTATTTCCTAGCTGGCAGGATGCTGCCTGTTTCCACGTGGTGATTTACTGTCTCCATTTCTTGGTGCGATTCTGTTCATCTCCTTTGACCACTTATCAGGGGGAGTCATGTCGTGGCCCGTCCATTATTAGTTTGGGGCAGTAAGCAGGCTTGGGAAGGGGGATATGACAAACCTAATGGATGCCACTGTTTTCCTTTTGATATTTATTTTTTTATTACATGGTGGTGTAAAAATTTCCGTTCTTATGTGTCTGAACCCATCTGTCAGAGCCCTGATGTTATCTGTTTCTTCAGGAGCTGGGAATTTATCTCCTCATCGGCCACAGGGGTGGCGATGCTTGTCCCTTGTCTCTGGGTTTGTCACAGATTAACGGTATGATATGTCTGAATCTGACAGGCCTGCTGTATGAATTTAAATAAAGTCTCCCATGCCCCTTGGCCAACTGTCCCGGTGATGTTTATTAAATAACAGCCTCTTTCCTCGGTGCCTTCCTTTGTCAGCCTATCGTTAGCTTTACTGGGGTTCAAGTTCATCTCAGGGATCTCTCCTGATGACCTTCGCTGCTTTTAACTTAGCTTAGGATGGTCCCACTGACTGGCGTCGCATAGCGTAATTGCTCCAGAGGGATAGGCTGTTGTGGCCATCGAAAGATGAGTCCTCTGATGGGTCTTCACTTGGAAGAATGAACATCCCACACTCCAAGCTGTCAATTTCTATTAGAGGACTTAGGGGGATTTACACTGCTACTGCA